AAAGCCTTACCACCTTTCACAGAAATGGCTGCACCAAGCTCAACAAAAGCTCTGGGAAAAGCTTGCCAACTATGTGATGAGCTCGCAGAGCAAATGCAAATCTCCAGCTTCTCCTGAAGAGAGAGTTTCTGTTCTCTGGAAAAAAAACATTATGCAGTAGCTAAACGCCACCCATGTTCTTGCACAACAGTTCGCACCTACCACGAGGTGCAGTGGGAGAAAAGCTTTTCTTCCTTCTGCGTTTTAGCCGCAAGACTTGAGCGTAAATGTGGGTAACAGTCTGTAGAGGGAGGGTTTGAAAGACCAGCTGGCCAGGCAGCCTCTTTTGGATCCGGTCCGTGCTGACGGGAGAATTGCGTCCCTGGCTGCTTGGCACTGCTGAAGCTTTCTGCCTTCTTGCGTCTCCTGGCTGTGCCAATTTTGTGACTGTTCCCTAGACTATTGCAGTCTAAACATTTTGGGTTAACACAGATCTGCTGTTTAAACAGCTCCAGTTCACCTGCTCCTTTTGATGGAAGAGGATCAGGGCATGTGAAGCACTGCAGCGAGAAGATGAGAAACAGTGGCAGGCTCTGGTAGGGAGACTGGGAGGTGGCAGCCCATGTTCAGTGACTCCTTCCACCACCCAGCTGCGTGCGGGAGGACATGCATGCAGAGGCACGGCAGGAGCAGTGCCCAAGCCATCCCCTCGAGGCGAAACGCTGGCCCTTGCCTAGGGAAACGTGCTCAGGTCGCGGGAGACTCTTTACGCCGGAGTTTTCCCCGAATCCGGGCTCTGTTACAGAGCAGCGTGTTAAGCTGAGCATGGCTCGCTGGTGTCACGGGCTCTGTGTAGCTTTTCCTGTTCATGGAGCACTTTTCCGCAATGTGTGCTTCCACGCAGCTTTTGTGGAATGGTTGAACAAGGTCGTTCTTTGGCATGGGTGGACGCATTGCAGACCTGCTTATTTGGAAGCTCTGACCTTCTAATGAGGACTCTGCTGGGTTTGCCCATGCCAGTGTGACCTCATTTAACCTTTTCCATAAACTTTAAATTGGCTGTCCAGCCTGGGAGCCAGCAGTGAAGGTGAGGTCGGTCTCTGGAACGTGCAGGTAAGCAGAGAGTCAGTGTCGAGACCTTGGCAAAGCTAGGATATCCGCTTTCTAATGCTTCTCACGGTTCTTTAAAATCTGGGTCCTCTGTTTTACCTGTTTCTTTCCCAGAGCACTCCCCTAGGGTTTCTCAGCAGTTTCCCAGTGCATGCCCCAGACGAGGAAGGGCTTTCTGCCTTGCATTGCAAAATGGCTTAAGGACCTCCTGTACCTTACAGAGCATGCTGAGCAAGGAGAGGCGTGGAGGATTCACCTTGTGAAGTTGTCCTTGGCAATGAAGGCAGCTTGGGTGGGAAATGTTCCCTCTGCACCATTCTTTAGGGAAATTTGAGCTGAAAACGGGCTGTACGGAGAGGCCCTCTTCCGAGGGAGTATGCGCTACTGATGTGATCACTGAACAATGAGATTACTTAAAATACAAATCGCTTTAAAGCACACCTATAGCTGCTGATCTACCTGCTCATTAGCAGTAAATGTAGTTTATAATTGCCTCATAACAAACTGTTTTAAATATCTATGTCTGCATGGTAATTATGGATGGTAAAAGGAAGAGTGCCATGGAGGAGATCAGGGCATTAAACTCTCCTGGAAGCAGTCTGTGCTGCAGAGCTGGACAGAATGAATCCAGTTTTGTATGAAGGTGGCAAGAGGAAGGTGCTTTCACGGCATCAGTATCACCTTGTGGGCTGGTGTAAGCGGGATGTTCACCCTGTTCAGTAAAATACAATGAGTTTTATTCTGCCCAAAGCAAAGGGGATGGTGAAAATGGTTTGGACTGTGGTTTTATGTTAGGAAGTGGTACATGGAATTTATCTCCTCCTCTTGTCTCCCTCCCTTCAAAAAAATCAAAGATTTTTTTTCTATGTTGGACAAGATTTGATTCATAGCACAAACCTACAAACAGTTGCAGTAGTGCTGCTGACAGAGTAGCATGGCAGAGGAGCAAGAGCTGAGTTTATTAGATATCATTGCTGAATGTTAGTGTGAAACCTGGCTTTTGTAGTAAGCTGTATGATATTTGGAGTTAATGGTGCTCAGGTGGCTGGTGTGAACTGCTCCACCCTGAGATGGTATTTGATTTGACAGCCAGGCCTGGACTGTGGAAGCTGGAGAAAAATTCTACCCCGTGGAGCAAAACTTGCATTTGCGCTTCTCTCAACCCTTTCCTGCTTTTAGCTGCCCTTGGTTTGGGGATATCATGTGTCTCTCACAGTTTCGGTTCATCCTTTCGTGCCTGTTCTCTCTCCCAAGCTGCTCCGAGGTGGCTGTGGCAGGCAAGTGCTTGCACTTGTCCCTCTTAATTGGAAGTGGAGAAATCGCAGCTTGCGGAGGTCTCCGTTCATTAATCAGTGGATCTGATGGTTGAGTTGTCTTTTAATAACTTATTTTGCTTAGTGCAGCACTCTGAAACCTCGGGTGGCAGACAGCACATAAGCGACATTCCTTAGAGCAGTTCAAACAAGGGATATGTATGAAACGAGCTTGGTTCAACCACCTTCAGTGCCGTTGCTGCCCTTTGGGAGGGTGAGGTGAGAGTCACCCAACGTAGGCTCAGAAACGCCTGTTTTGTGGCACTTGGGTTCCAAATTTGGTCCACAGCTTGTGCCTGGCAAGCGGTGTTGCTTGCCCAGTAAACTTTGGGAATGCTCTACTGAACAAAGTGAATACTGCTTTTTAAAATTGGATGTATAACTCCAGGGCTAATGTTCTAGTCTCTGAAGAAAGTGCCTCTAAACATCTAGATGATTCATCTCAGGTTTCTGGGAGCTTGAAAAGCCATTTTTTCTCCCTGCCCCCTCCTAGCAGAAAATAACACAATAAAGCAGCAGAAAATCACAGATTAGTCCTGATGGCTATGCTGCTTTCCACCAAACATCTGTTGGGAAGCCAGGTTTTTAAGTAGTAGCTCAGATACTGGATGATCTTCCTTTTTCAAGTAAATGTTGACTGGCATCAACTTTTCATGGGTTCTGAGTGACCTGAGCTTTGTTAGGGGGCTGATTGAACAACCTGCTACTGTGTGATATCTGTGCAGTGAGCAAGAGGAGAAACAAGTTTGCAGAACTGGGAGGGTCGTGCATTGAAGATAAAGTCTGAAATGGCCTCAACGTCTGCTTTGAAAATACCTTTTTTTTTTTTTCCCCTACTAGCTAGCACAGCAGTAGGAGAGCGTTCCCTTGCTGCTGCAGCCTCTCTAGAAACCTAAATCCTGGCCAGATTCTTCTCTTCCCCCTTCGCTTAAAGACTGCACTTCTCCCATGTGATCTAGACCCTCTTGCCAAACGTCTTCCGGCTTCCCTTGCGTTGCTAACGTGATCTCTGTTGCTCTTCTCTTCCCTCCTGTTCAGTGATCTTCCCTCTCATTTCTGCTCAGACAGGGAAATTGGGGTCTGCCTGTGCAGCGTGTGCAAGAACAGCCAGCTTGCCCGAGGCTCCTCGGGGACAGAGGCTGGGGGCTGAAATCTCACACTGGGAGACGCTACAGGCTTTCGGGGAGAGCACCTGCAAAAGTCAGCAATGGGGTTTTCCCTTTTTTGTCTTTCCCTGTCCTAAATCTGAGCTTCCCCGTGTTGACGGGAATCTGCTTTTTCACCTCTGCATCTGTACCCTCGGTGGATATTGGTATGATAGCACAGATAAGTTTTTAGCTTTTTGTTTTATATGCAAAATGGTGTTTCCATAAAACTCCTTTTTCAATCTTTTAGCCCCAGGAGATGGGATTCTTGGCTGAACTCGCTGCGTGGCCTAGGGGGTATTGTCTTTTCTGCCAGTGCATCATATGGGCTTGTTTGAGACTGACCGAAAAGTCTTTTGTGATCCCGGGAGGCTTGCAAACTCCAAAACGTTCGACCTAGAGGCTCAAAAGCAAGATGCACAGTGAATTTCCAAGGCAGCACCTCAGCCTGAAGTACGTAGCGTCTTGGCATGTCGCAGGACTGTGCTCTGTCCTCAGTATTGGGCGTTCTCATGGAGTTTGGTGATGGAGCTTGGGTAGTCCTGTCTTACACAGTGCTGATGCCAAGGGATTCTTGGTCTGTAAATTAAGACCGTGAAGCAGGCCACCAGCTGACTTCACTTTAGGTTGTGTGCACTCTCTAATTTTTTTGCAGGCACAGCTGGATTCTGCTGATTGTAAGTGTTCCCTTATGTTTCATCAAATACCCAGCAAATGACAGCACCAGGCAAGCCAGAGAGGATTGACAGTCAGTCAGCAGCTTAATGTTTTGTGTTCTAGTTCTGCTTAACAAATCGTTTCTTTATGAGCTTCTCTGAAGTCAAGTCAGACGTTTTTTTCTGCGTGTCCCTTCCCTCCTCTGTGTCCTTCTGTTGTTCTCCAGAGACTTCTAGTACAGTAGGTGGAGCGCAGGCCTGTATTGTGTGGCTTTCCTGTGTAGTTGTTGCTCTTGGCTAGCATTGCTGGCCTTATTTATAGAGGGAAAAATCAGTGAGGCTTAGTTCTAGCCCATACAGCTGTTGTAATGGGGCTGGTAATTTCAGCGTATGTAGACAGTCATGGAAATCCGCCGTTTGGCTGTCTGGAAGGTATTTGTATTCGTGTAATTACTTGTGTCTAGCACAGTTGCTTCCAACTGAGGATGAGAAACGGCGACAAAGTGATTTGTGTTCCTTAGGCAGAGCTATAACACTGCCAATTTGAACTAATCCTCGTTTCATTAGACAGCCTCTTTTTTTATCAGTTGCCCTTTGCACTGTTAACGTTGCAAATGCTTCTCTCGTCTCCCCAAGCTAACGTGAGCCGCTGGCTGGTTGCGTGAAGGCATGGAGTCTCGCTACGGTCTTTGCATGAACGTGCATCGCTGGTTCGCAGCGTGCCAGGGGCAGGCTGGCGGGAGACGGCAGCCGTCCTCTGCAACACAGGGGTGACTTGCGTATTCTTTTCTGCGCAGCTGAAGACGTGGATCACCCGCCGACGGATGCCAGCATGGGGGTGGACGTCCTGGAATCGGGTGACACGACACCCCCTACAAAGAGGAAAAGCAAGTTTTCGAGCTTTGGCAAGATCTTCAAGCCTTGGAAGTGGAGGAAAAAGAAAAGCAGCGACAAATTTAAGGAGACTTCGGAAGGTAAAGTCATGGGCTGGGCGGGAGTCCCTTCCTCCATTTGGGGAACCTGCAATTAGCCACGTGGCTGATGAGAATGGCTTGCCACAAGCCTGAATGCCTAAGAACCCAATGTGACTTTGCTGGTGAAGGACTGGCACCTGCGATCTCACCAGAAACACCTTGCCTTGGAGAAGTACTTTCAAAGAAGCAACATTCCTTTCTCGGAAGGAGCCTCCCCAAGCAGCTGTGGGGAGGGAGGGTTTGCTCTGGGATCCCCCATCTAATATGAAGCACAGGCCTGAACATGCAGTCCGTCCTCCCTCCTCTTAATCCCTGCAAAAGAGTGAAGTTTGAAGTGCTTTTATTTCTCCAAAGGACAGATGCCTTTAAAAACTGTTCTTGAACCTCTAGCTGCCCTGTTTTCTGAGTGCCTTTTTTTTTTTCAATTTAATATCAGTTTTAGAACGAAAGATTTCTATGCGAAAGCCAAGAGAGGAGCTGGTAAAAAGAGGGGTTCTGTTGGAAGACCCTGAGCAAGGTGAGTCTGCAAATCAACTTATCCTCCGCCTCTCTGTGTTCTGTGTAGCTATCTGCCTCTGACGTCTTCCCTCTCTTCCCCCCTCCCCTTGCAGCTGTTCTTTTTTGGGAGAGATTTAAAGGCTCTTTGCTAACGTTGTTCCTCTTGGCTTGTCTTGCCCTTTTTAATATGCTCCTTTGTCTGGCTTTTGCACCTGGCTAGAAAGGCAGCCTGCTCGGCTACGAAGATGTTCCTAAGAAAACGTAGTGCCTGTCTGCGCTTCTTCCTGCCTGCTGCCGGAGGGGAGGGAAGGGGCGTTGTGTGTGTCACTTCCGTCCTGTTCCTGTCGTACCTGTCCCAGTCCAGTTGCCTTCTCCTGTCCTCCTGAGCTGCTTTGTCACATTCACACTTGCTGTCTCTGGCTTGTTCTGATCACACTTCAGATGGCACCCTAACCTTAGCAGGGGAGGCTCTGGCCTTGGGATTCAGGTGTTAAAGCTTGGAGAAAGAAACCAGTTGCTGTTTGTTTGAGCTGCCTGGGTAGGGGAATTTTCTCCAGATGTTAGAGATGAGAGTTGCTTCATGATTTGGGTCACAGTTTGCTGTAAGTTTATCAAAGCATCCTGCTGTTGAAGAAGTCTTCTCCTGCTTTCTGTCACCCCTGCTGTCTCCGGTGAGTTGGGTCCACCCTGCCAAAATAAGTTTTCAGTTTGTCGTCTGGCTTGATTTGGCTGCGTGTTAGGTAATGTTAGTACAAGGGAGAGGGAGCTGGAAAGTGTGGTGGGAGAGCAGGCCGCCCGTTTTGGTGGCGGCATGGTCTTTGGCTTACAGCAGTGTATAATTGCACCTCGGTGACGTATTGCAGAGGCAGCCATAACATAATGGCAAACTCCAGGGTTTGTTCTTCTAAGAAAATGTAGCCAAAGTGGAAGGGGAAAAAGTGGAGGTGAAAAAGTGGTTTCCAGACCAAACCACTGAAAGCAAAACAGAGGAAAAGTCTCACATGGTTGGTTGCAGCTACGCTGTGATGAAAGCCATCTACAGTTACCTGAGGGTGTAAATGCTGGGCTGAAGGAGGAATTCACTGTGGTACAAAAGTGTATGAAGTCACAGGATGAAACTGTGGAAGAGAGATCAAAGACTTTGTGTAACAAACTTCCAGCTAGAGATGACAGAGGAGAGTCTTCCGAACTACAAGGGTGTAGCAGAAGTGTGACTAGGAGGTGGAATTATTTTCTGGTTGAAGTCATCTGATCTGGCTTAGGCAACCAGAAGATGGTTATAATCTGGACAAAGTGCAAACCCAAGGTATGAGGGAGCGATCAGTATCGTCAGGAGGGTTAGATTAGAAAGCGCATTATCTTAATCCCTTGCTTCTATGATTTTAAGACACTTGAGCAGTCACAAGACAGTGGTGGTAAGTTATTGTATTTGCTTGTAATTCTAAAACCTGCGCTTCCAAGATCAGTTAATTTTCTTAGGCAAGTTCTTAAGGAAAAAAAAAATGCCAGAAATACTTTGAGACAAGTGAGGAAGGAGGTAAGGAAGCATAGTGGAGGCTTTCAAACACAGTGCAGTTGGGAGAGGAGGCCATCTATCTGCTGCTGTCTGGGCTAGTGACAAGCAGGTTGTGTTGGGCGTGCAGTAAGTGAGGAAGGTTGTGTTGGACTGTCTTGACCTTGAAGGAGGTCACAGGAATTGAAGTCTGGAGTAAAGTCGTCTTCGAGTGAGAAGGCCAGCAGGAGCTTTCTGCTTGGGCTCAAGCTCTGTGCCGGAGAAGGGTGTGTGAGGTTTGAATGGCTAAGGAAGAGCTGGATAGTACTGTTCCCATCTCCCTTGCTGAAGACTTCAGCTGGCCAGAGGCAATTGCTGCTGCTACAAAAAGCTCCAGCTCATCTCTTGAGTTTCAACCTTAGCTGGGGAGGAAATTCCTCTTGTTGCTGTCTTTGCTCCCTGCCTTTCAGGGAAGGGCAGCTAATTAGGTGACGCGGAGCTCTCATCCATCTCCTCTTGGGAACCAGCGCAAGTTTTGCAGAAGTGAAAGCAGAGGGAGCTTTCGGCGTGACATCTTTGCCTTTGATTTCTGAATAACACCAGGCTGGGGAAGGTGAGGGAAGATCTTTCCTGGAGGAGGGAGTGGGAGGAAGGAGGCAGCCAAATAAGTCATCAAAAATCAGAGCAACAAAAAGTGCTAGGGTCTGACACTTGGGAGACCCAGGATGCTGTGTGTTAGATTTGGCTGAGAGGTGGTAGGCTGATGAAAATGCTAAGGATTTTTAATCAGACTGGTGATATATCAGTTGAAGTCTCCTTGGAGCCTGAAACCAAATGGCCAAAATGTTCATAGCACTGTTAGAGTGGCTGTTAACTGTGACTCTGGGAATAACACTTTCAAGAGTTTGTCCTGTCAAGGCAATTAAGGCAGTAGAGAATGGTTGAGCTTTGCCTCATTGTGACTAGGGCTTTAGATGCCCTCAAAAGCATGATGAAGCAGGGCTGAAAAGACTTCTTTTTGGGAAAAGAGAAGTCTATATTTTAAAGTTTGGGAAACTTCACACTGGAATCTACAAGAGCAGAAATAATTAAGCTGAAGTATGACAGATTCTGTAGATGTATGGTTACATCTGATCAAAATAAAGGTTAAAAAAAAAAAAGTGAGAAAAAGTGAGGACGTGCCTCTTCGACTGGTAGACTGGTGGTGATCTTTGTGCCAAATGCAGGGCAGAAACGGAAGAAAAATAAAGTCACTAATTCATTGCAAGACTGTTAAATCCATATTGCATGGCCGGTAGACTCCTTGGCCAGTATTGGATTTTGTATTGTGGTGGAGAATATTTGTATATTCTTATAGTGAGTGGATATGGAAGTGGCTGGAGCAATCTGCTTCTTGCTTAACTGTGATACAGCTTTTTTGGGCTGCGGTGGAGCATTGGACTTACTAGTCTTACAGTTTTAAAATGTAATTGGTAGATTAAGAGGCTGCTGAAGGGGAAGAAGAAACTTGATGGGATACAGCCCTGTACTATTCTGTATCTTGAAAAAGAAACCGAGCGCTCAGCTTAAGCTAGAGTTGGTGTTGCTGTGCTCTTCTCTGCAGGAGGTAGACTGAAGACCAGTTGTTTCAGCAGCCCAAGAGAAATGGATGTGGATTGATGGCAGTTCAGGCTGCTCAGCCATGTCTCCTCTGTCTTGTGCCTTCTGACTGCTTTCTGTTTGCTTCTCTCCCCTCCCATCCCCTTGCAGATGGTGAAGAACCAGAGAAGCTCAACCCACCTGCACTGAAGAATGGCCACACGGTCCCTATTGGTGATCCTGGGGTTTTTAACCAGACCAGCCAGGAAGAGGAGGCCACAAAGCCCCTAAGCCTCGGGAAGTTAGGAACCAAAGAAAAGACAGGGTAGGAATTCAGATGTTTGCACAGTCTGTTGCTTCATATTCTTGCAAGACCAACTTTGATTTCTTTTTTTTTTTTTTTTTCCCCCCTTCACTCTTCCCTCTCCTCTCTGGGCCCTCCATCTCTTAAACTCAGCTGTCTTTGCTTTGCAGGCTCATCCAGCAGCCATCCTGGTGCAGAAACAGAGCCACTTCAGGACTCACATGTCCCCAGACAGCCTCTACTTCCTCCAAAAAGACTTCCCTCTGCTTCCCAGGAGGCAAATGAAGTGCAGGTGAAAGATCCTGCCCCTGCCAGCAGCACTGCGAGAACTGCATCCACCACCACAGCCCCGGCGGCAGCAAAGACAGTCAATTCCACAGCTGCCCCTTCCCCGGCCCCCAGGACTCTGCCCCCTGCTCTTGCCAATGCCAACACTACTGCTCCCACGAGTGCAAGCAGCACAGCTCCTGCCAAACAGCCTCCCATCCCTCCGCCCAAGCCTGTGAACAGAAATAGCAACTCGGTCATAGGTAAGTGCCTGCCTCCTGAAGCTGGGATGTTCTGGAGCCATCGTTGTGAGATTCTCTCCCGTTTTTAAGGGAAGACTTTTTCCTATGATGTAGTCTGACAATCTGTCACGAAAACTGTCCAGTTCAAGCGCAGAAGACCTCTCACTGTTTAGCTGGGACAGCCATGCGATGAGGGCAGTGTAATTACGGGAGTGTTTTGCCATAAGCCATCCAATCTGTCAAACGTGCTTATTTCCAACAACTACCTACAGGAGGGAATGCCTGGCTGCTTTCGGCAGGGACAGGAATGCTGCAAGGAGAAGGGAAGGCGTTTCTCTTCTTTTTAAGACAATGTCTTTGAATATTTCACTGAGGGCTGGAATTCAGCCATGGTTCACCTGGGTTGGAGGATGGTGTATTGAGATTTTTGCCTCACCAGGCTGTGGTCAGTGAGATTGATACTTTCAGATGGTTTAGGGTGGGAGGAACCCTCACATAACAGCAACTAACAGCCCTAACGGCTGTCGTTGCTGGGCCACAGGGTTTCCACTTAGAGAGGCCTGGAGACAGCAGGGATAATTGAGACTTTCCTGGTTCATATTCAGGCATCTTCTTTAAGGTGGTCAGGGTACTGCTGTATTGATCTCATAAGTTTCCTTAATTCTTGTCCCATGGATCAATGGAGTGAAGCATAATTTGAGCTGATTCTTCCCACTTAGAAATAAGACGTTTCGTTTGCTAACTGTAACTTTTCTAAGGCGAAGAGCCTGGGAGAGTTTCTTAAAGCTGAATGAGTCCCTGCTCTATTTAAGATCCTCAGAGGCCTTAAAGATGCAAGACTGCTTGAGTGAACGAGACAAACAACTTGAATCTAGTTGATGGCCGCCTCATATTTCACAGACCTCCTGTTTATCTGTAGATTGGATTAGCAGAGGCTAGTACAGACTAGGAGGGAGGCTCCTGGGAAGATCGATGGGAGATGTCTGTACAGAAACTGGAGGCGTTACACAGGTGTGGTTTGGGAGGTGGTGGGGGAAGCTGGGCTCATGTGCAAGTTACCATCTGAAGTAGCCAGGGCCACTGTTTTCAGTATGAAGTGCATCACTCTGTTCTGCTTGGGGCTTCTCCGTGCTCTAGCAGGTTTTGCAAGTGACCTTGATATGGTATTAAATGCTCCTGTATGCCAGACCAGCTTGATTAGTCTGACCATGCCTGAGCACCAGATGAAATACTTTCTTGTTTTCTTTAAGCTGCTTGCACACATCACAGATGGTATTTGAAATGCCCCAGTGCTAATTGCAGGAGGTACTTGCAGAGTAAAAAATGTGGCTGAAGACAGCAATCTATCAAAGCTGTGTTCAGAGCCAGCCTGCCTCTGTCTCCAGCAATGCAGGGCTGGGCTCGGTGCACCTGCGGCTTTCGGGGTGTGGAGGGGAGGGGAGCAGAGCAGCCAGCCCCTCTTTTGTTTCCTGGATGAGAATGCAGATGCGGGGAGAGAGGCTTTGCAGCTCTCCGCAGGGCTGTGCATCCTCGGCACGACGGCGCTGTGACTGCGGTGTGCATGCCGTCACTGCTGTGCAAGCCTTGTTTTGTCATGTGGATAAATGACAGCAGTGAAATTGGCTTCAGGAGCTCTCCGTAGACCTGCAGTAAAGTACTGATGCTGTGATGACCTGTATGCTCCTTTATATGCTCTTTTCACATACGCTCTACGTAGTGGGGCATGGTGAGGCAAACATGACAGTGCCTTCTGCCACTGCACCAGTTCTCTGCCCTGGGCTCCTACGTTGCCAGTGTCTTAAATGTCACTTCTGAGCAGGAAAGGCTCAGGAAACGCTTGCTTTTGGGAAGTGGGTGTTTTATCTACAGCACCTTGAAAAGCAAGCAGGGCAAGTGGTGCTTTTTTGATGGCCATGAGCTCGGTGGCAGCCCCAGTGCTCAGTGCTGACAGGTTTCGGGAGCCATAGTTAATGTAGCCTGAGCTAGAGCAACATGTCATGCTGTGGTAGCAGGTCACAAGAGGTTGTGCCACTCGGTGCGCTGAGCCTTTATCGCACTGAAGGGAGACAGGCTGGCTCAGGAGGATGCTTTGAATGGCACCTAGCCCTTCTGTCTCCTGTTCCTTCTGCCAACTACTTGCTTCCTTTTCAAATGGGTCTATCAGTACCCAAAGGTGATCCTGGTCCTGCCAGGCTTTGAGCGCTGCCGAGGAGATATTGAAAACCCTCTGTGCTGATGCGAATGGGAGTTGAGAGCACTCAATGTTTTGCACAATCTAACCCTTAATCTATAAGGGGAAGGTCTGAAAATGCCAAACATCCCAAAAATGCGCCTACCTCTCTCCAGTTCTGCAGTCTTATCTCAGCGAAACACTCCCTGCTTGCAGCACCCTCTTGTGGTGCCTGATAGCACAGATTCCTCCTGGCTCTGCACTGAGGGCTACAACCCTGGGACCGTAACTCGCTCCATTCAAGATGTGCAATACATTTGACCCCCTTTAAGCAGGGGAAACTGACTTCTTGAGCCCAAGAAACCCTCAGTATATGAATATTAAAAGCTACAAACCCTTGGAGCAAGAGCAGTCTTCACTAGTGCAACTCCTTCCCTAGGAGCAAGGAGTAGAATTGCCTATTGCAGAAGTTTTTCCTTACTGTGATGTGGTCCCTGTGTCTCCCTCTCCAACTCAAAGCTCTTATGTGGATTTGGAAGAGTTTTTTTTGTAGTTGCAGATAAGCTCGTACAGGGCTTAAGGAACAGAGTGCACGGGGAATAGAGCGAAACCTCATCCTTAGACAAGAAGTGCTAGCAGCAAGATTTTTTTAGGCAGATGAACAGAAAGGGGGAGAGCACGTTGCTGCTTGCAGTTCCACTGACTTTTGCCCTCAAGTGAGACTTCCCCAAAAGTTTCTTTTAATGTGCAAGGGAGCTGTTAGCACAACCGAAGTCTGGGGTGTCCTGGATGTCTCAGATTCCTTTGCAGACTGATGCTGTAAATATAGCCATAAAGTGCCCTACATACCTGCATTCCTTGGCTAAGGCAGCATGCTGATCTGGGTGAGCTCCATCTGCCGTCGTTCGAGGGCTAGTGCTGTTTCTTCCTCCAAAGCAGCGGGATGCACAGACCTCTCCCAGCCTGCCTGTTTCTGGCTGCTCTCCTGAGTCTTACCTTTACTGCAGAAAGGACAAACTAGAGGTTGGCAACCTGGTTATTTTTGGCACCTTATTCTAGTGAAAAAGCAGCCGAGATTGCTTGGTGCTGAATACTTTGCCATGCTTTTTCTGCACTGAAGGGTGAAGCCCCTGCTAAATGTAGTTGCTCTTTTTTTTTTTTCCCCCCCAGCTGAACTTTCTCAAGCACTGAATAGTGGTACAGGCTTGTCTAAGCCTTCTCCTCCCCTCCCACCCAAGAGAGGCCTCATGCCTAACAACAGCTCAGAGTCAACTGTCGCGTCCAAGCCCCTGAGCGAGAGGACAGTGACGGCTAACCGCCCTGCCCTGATGCCAGTGCACGGGGCCCCTGCTTACCCACCACCCTCGCCTTCACCACCGCTGCCCACGCACATACCGCCTGAGCCTCCACGCACCCCCTTGCCTGCCACCACTCCTGCCTTGGACCCTCCGCGCTCCCTCGACCTGCCCAAAGAGACTGCTCCACCTGAAGACTTCAGGTCCCTGGAAGCAATGAAGAGGGTGACAGAGCAAGGGTTTGGCGAACCTCATGTGCTGCCTCGGCTGCCCCAAATCCCCTTGCACATCCGGATCCAGCAGGCTCTGGCCAGTCCCCTGCCTGTCACGCCGCCTGCCGAGGGCTCGCACAGGGCTCACTCGCTGCTCTTCGAGAACGATGGCTTTGGAGAAGACAACGGCACCCTGGGCCGGACGAGGTCCCTGCCGGTTACCATTGAGATGCTGAAAGTGTGAGTACCTGCTGTGTGTGTGTGGTGGCGTTCAGCAGCAGTGTGGGTCACGCTGGGCTCTGATGTTTTGGTGGTGGTTTTGCTTATCGGAGAAAGGCTCTGATGGTCAAAAGGACTTCTGGGCAGGGCTATTTTTTATGCTGCTTGTTGCCACAGTCTAGAAACATTTTGCCTGTCTGCTGAATCTGTGTACCAGTCTCTTAAGGGCCTAGTGCATCTTTGCCAGGAAATTAACCCTGGTTCTGGGATTTTACTGCTTACAGTGGAAAACCTGCTCCGGAGTACTAATACAAGCCGATACTAGGAAGCTAGGCCTGTCTTTAATTGCGCTAAGACAAAACAAGGTCCTGGATTTCATCCATTCATGGCCTGCTTAAGAGCCTGTTTTGCAAAACAGAAGTGGGAAAAGGACTGGCTTGTATTATAATGTAGTTGAATCGGAAGGTCCCAGAGTGGGGTGGTGAGAGGGCTGCTTGGTTCTGCAAGCAACCTGCCCCAGCACTGCCTCAGCCAGAAAGCATCCGTGTCCTTTGGAAAGAGGGAATGGTGCACCGATCGTGGGGCTTTTGAGGGTAGGGCTGCTCTTGCATTTCTGGTTTCTGGGCTCCCCCCAGGACCCGCCTTCCATGGGGCTGTGCTCCAGCCTCTGTGGGATGCGTGAAGAGATCTAAAAGTGTGCTTCTTGTTAGTCCAGACGATGAGGAAGAGGAGGAAGATGACCGGGAGGAGGAGCAGAGTTCGGGCCCTCGTGTGTATATTGGAGACGTGCCATGTGTCACAGTCATCCCAAAGCTGGTGCCCCAGGCCCTGCCAGAGGAGCAGGAGGGAGATGAAGGGATGAGCGACTCTGACTCGGAGGGGCCCATCCTGTACAAGGATGATGAGGATGAGGAAGAAGATGAAAGCCATAACAGTAAGGCCTTGACATTGCAGCTGGCTTTTTTCTTTGCTGAATTTATGCCTGACTGTACTGAGATCTGGATCAAAGAGCTAGCTCACACAGGGCTTCAAAGCAGCTGATTGTTGGTTTTGTGATGTACCACGTGTCCTCTTTTGCTACTTTTTGCAAAAGCTCTAGCAGCCAAACCTGTACCTCTGAGGCGATAGACTCTTCCCCCCCACCCTTCTGTTGCAGATGGCTCCTGCAATAGCCTGTGCTATCGCATCCTTCAGGTGGGATAGCGTTAGCCGAGCATGTGGGCGTCACGGGGGAACTTTCTCTTGCCGTAGGGATTAGCTCCTGCTAGCTCAGGAGCTGCAGTGCTTAGCTTGGAAAGCAAGCCCTGGGGGAGCAGGACTCCAGGGTGCACGTGGCTTATACTGCTGTGCCTTGGGCACTGCAGTCTTCAGTCACATCCCATTGCTCTTCCTCCCCACAGGCACGCTGGCTAACAAAGTGAAGAGGAAAGACACGCTAGCTATGAAGCTGGGGAACACGACTGCCCTCCACGAGGAAAAGATTGTCTTCCCTCGGAAGAGCAAGGAGGAGTGGAATGAAATTCGGCACCAGATCGGGACGACACTGATCAGGTACAAAGAAGAGAGGAGAGTTTTGTTTGAGCCATTGGCACAACCTGAGGGTGGATTGGACAAAGCTGTTGCCTCATCTAGCAGCCTGTGCTAGAACATGACAAGTGACTGGGCAATGCTGCTAGATCAGGCCTGTGGGAAACAAAGGCTCAGTGTTGCTTTTCCTCCTCGATTAAAAAGACGGGAAGTTTTTCCTGGAGTTGAACAATATCCAGTGGCAGGCTTCTGTTCCCAGTCCTTAAATGGACTGAGGGAGAAAAATCTCAAAGGACTTAAAGGAACATTATTGCTGTAAACTGTGGATGGCATTATACAGATGTGGAGAGATGCAGCCTGAGTCTCACTGCATTAGGTGGTGGATTAAGCTGGGGTGCTTGGAAGCCTGGGCTCTGCTATCTGCTTGACTTCCCTGAGAAGTTGCCCCAAGCCGTTGAGAGGCCGTGGGTGAACAGCTGTTTGAGTGGAGGAGAGTCCAAAACAGAATAGCAGCGAGCTCGACTGGTGAATGAGATGAGAGTAGAGAGTTCTCCGATGCACTCAAACCAAGCAGTTGTATTCTTCATCCCCTACCTGTCTATGTCCAGGTAAAACGTAACATGCTTGTCCCACTTTTTAGGCGACTGAGTCAAAGACCGACAGCAGAAGAACTGGAGCAGAGGAACATACTTCAGCGTGAGTAATGCTTCTTTATTGGTCCTAAATATTGAAACAAAATAGTTGATGCCTTGTTTCCCATTTAACATTTTACTCCAGGGGCTCACAATAGCAGCAATGGTGGTTTGTGCTTTGGTTATAACATTTTAGTAAGGCAATTCCACTGAATTTCCTAGTACTTTGCCTTTGGAAACTGCCTGTGTTAGCCATGCTCCCCGCCATGCTTCTGAGCTCTCAGGTAGAAGCTAGAGAAAGAGTACCAAGAAACATAGTTCAAAGCATCATGTAGAAGTACTGCTTGTCCCCTGTCTGACACTTCTGGGGAAAGTATGGAAACACTGGAGCCTGGTTAAGACCCCACTCTGAAGTTATACAGCAAGGACTATTAAAGGTGTGTTTGGTTGGGCTGGACTTCTGTTTGTGGTCCAGACGTTACAGCATTGTACTGCATGATCCAGAAAGGAGTGGTTCATTGTCCAGTGAATGGCGTTTCTCTTGGTCATACCTTGCCTTGCGAAAGATTTAAATAAACAACTCGACGAAAGGGAAATGTCAGTTCTGGAAACTTCCACTTAAAATATTTATCTGTGCTGCTATTCTCTTAAAACTACTACTATAATGGCTTTGGGGAGGAGCATTTTTAAAAGCCTGTACTCAGTTTGCAAAGTGGCTTGGATATATTTTGACAATATGACCATTAATCTTTAATATACCTAGGACCATTAATCTTGAATATCCCTAGGCCTGGAGAGAATGACTCATTCATGCTGTGTTAAGGCCCATATTACCACTGTCATTCAGTGGGATGTTCAGTAAGTAAGGGTATTGAGTTAGTGTTCTTTGCCTGTAAGAAAGTGCAGACATACCCAAGTGAGCTTTCAGATGTGTAGCTAGTTTGTTGATACAGCCGCTATTTTTCTCTAGTCAAATCTGTAAAGCACTTTCCAAATACGTGATGCTTAAAGGAAAGATTATTTTTCCCTTGGCAGCAAAAAATGAAGCTGACCGTCAAGCTGAGAAGCGAGAGATCAAGCGCAGACTCACCAGAAAGGTACTGCTGGCTTTCGTGCTGTGATTGCCATCTGGCAGAGCTGTTGGGGACGATGGTGTCTGTGAGCATGCTGTAGGTACCTTGCTGTGGGTGAAGTCATGGGGCTATTGCATAATTGTCCCTAGTGCCCTCTGCCTGCAGTGACTTTGGAACTTGATCTGTCGGCAACAGCGAGCCATTGGCACTGCAGCCATGTTTGGTACTGACAGATCTGAGCCGGCATCAAGCGCAACAAGCTATATGACAACGCAATTTGGCACCTGCCACTAGAAAAGTTTGTTGGTGCTGGCCTGGCTGTGGTAATGTAACAAACAGAGTACTAAAGTGGCCATGACTTTTCCACCCCAGGCTCACCAAAATCCATTTCCAAACTAATAGCAGCTTGGGAGAAGCTGGGCTGAGCAACAGGTGGTTTTACCTCTTATGTCCAAGTTGCTTCTAATTGGATGTTTAATCATGGCATTAGAAGTCTGACTCTAAATCTATACCAAACACCTTCGTAACATGGCTTGAAACTGAGATACCACCCTGTTTTCTAATATGTTGATCCCACTTATGTGTCAGACGTAGTCAGCAGTTAATTCTGGCCTTCTGAGTTTGAGCTGTGTTACTCATTGCTGGGGAGAATTTCCCAAGGGCCTGTGGACGTGGAGTGTGAGTGTTGCCACTGTTGAAGCAGAAAATGGGCTTGCTTGGCTCAGGGGTGTTAGACAAGGCTTGCCCTTGCAGTGGCTGTACCCAAACCCTTTGGTGGCATCCTCCTTCTCTGGAATGTAGCTGTGGTTCTGCCCTAGCCCAGCCCCGTGGTCCAAATGAGGACTGTAAGAGGATTTGTAAGAGGTAGATTGTAAGAGGATTTGCTTACTCCTTTGCAGGCTGCTTCATGAGCAGGACCTAGCGGTACCTGCAATTCAGGCCCAATGAGGGAACTGGGCTTTGTTTTGCTTGGGCTACTTAGTCCTGAGCCACTTTGTGGACAAAGTACAAACTCACTCATGTGCTCACTTGTGTTCAGCTTAGCCAAAGGCCTACAGTGGCAGAGCTGCAGGCCAGGAAGATCCTGAGATTTAATGAATATGTGGAAGTAACAGATGCTCAAGACTATGACCGGCGAGCGGATAAGCCATGGACAAAGCTAACACCAGCTGACAAGGTAACAGGGAGCGTCCTGTCCCCAGGTCTGGGGAGGAGAGCTAGACTGGAGTGTTGCATGCAAAAAAGGGTATGAGCAAAGGAGACTTGCTCTGTTCTTCTTGCTTCACCTCTGCACCTTTCCCTTTGCTGTGCCACCCCACCAAGCACCAGCAGTATCCCATCACCCGCATGCACTGTACCCAGCCCCGCTTCCTGCTCCCTCCACAGCAACGTGAAGCCCAAACAGTGTGGCCTGCCTCTCAGTTCCCAAATGATACAAGAATAGAAGGCATGGGGTGTTGGTCAGAGGAGTGCAGTTTCTCACAGGCTGAGGCAGGCCCAGGCAAGAAGGTGGCAGGGAAGATCCCCTGTTCTTATCACACCCCAGGCAACTTCCCAGCCCTCAGCGTAGCAGTGGTAGGGCAGATTAAACTCAGTCTAGCGTGGGCTGACTTGAGGAAGCTGGGGAGGCTGCTGCACTCTGAGCTCCTCTGTCTACTGAAAGGATCTGGGGGACTCAGCCCTGCCTGTCAAAACTGCGGTCACCCTTCACTTCACCGCTGAAAGGTGGCGTGGAACAGCCCTGAGCAGGTGTAGAAGTACAGCATCTTCTTACCCCATCTAAGCTCACTTGAGATGGGTGCTTTAGTGGGAGGTAAAAAGATCTCTCCCTCTTTGTGCAGGCTGCCATCCGGAAGGAACTGAATGAATTTAAGAGCTGTGAAATGGAAGTCCACGAGGACAGCAAGCAGTTCACGCGGTGAGTGAGAATACATTACTCGCTCACTGTACATGGGCTCAGAGTTCCTGCTGTTCTTGTTGGGAGCGCAACAAGACCAAGTGCTGCTGCGGTAGTGCTGAGAGGCCAACCTTTAAAACCTTAGAAAAATGACCAGTGCAATAGTTGCAGGTTTCATGCCCCTTTCTACCTTGGGGTGTTGCTGGGTGACTGGAAGAGTGATGTGAAGTAGGTGATGGTTTCTCCCTGAAATGGGGCTCTGATACAGTAGTCTCAGAAGTGACCAGAGGTGGTCTGAGGTGTAGATGAAGCCACTGTGATCCACTGGGAGCCACTGTAGCTGGAGTGTGCTGTTCTGGGACTGGAGATGGGCAGCAGAATCCACAGCCTTAGGCATTTTGCTTTCCCTCTCAGCTTTGCCTCCTGGAAAATGGGGTTAGCATTAGACTGCTCTTTGTAGGATGCTCTGAGGTCTACTGCAGCTGGCAGGTGTCTGTCACCAAACACCTTGGTAGTTAGCTCTGGTATATCCGCAAAGTAACTAGTGGATCATGGCCCAAGTGATTCTTTTTTTTTACCCTGAAAGTTGCCCTGTGCGGCTAAGGTGAGTGTGTTTGTGGCTCAGAGGAGCTTTCTAAGGTGGGGTGAAATCCTATGATGTTAACAGCTTAACTGAGGGCTGAGAGTTCAGATGTAACTCACTTTACTCTTGTTGTCCATCTGTAACACTTCAGCAACCATTTACCCCAAGTTCCAAGGGTGACACTTGGCTTTTTCACTGGGCGTTTAGGTACCATCGACCGTAATCTTCCGGGAGGGAGCAAGAGATCCGAGAGGACTGAAAGTTCTCAGCATCCATCTCCTGGCAATTCAGTGAGGGTGAACCTCAACTCTTCCACGATTTGCCTTCAAAACACCTAGAAAAGGGCTCTCGGGGGCAAAGGGGGGTGTCCTGTCTGAATGTAGCATTTCACTGGAACAAACACGTCTCGAGTGCCATCAGGCTGGAACTGAACACTATACCTCGCACGGCTCAGCAATATGCCTCTCCTGGCACCAGCATCCCTGCCGGGAGACCACGCACATGTGAATGAACAGTTCCTTCCCCAGCTCCCTTTCTCAACTGTGCCAGGCCCAGTTCTCAGCTGTACATACTCCTTATGATTGGAACTTCTTAGTTTTCCTTCTCCTTACCAAGGAGAGGGGGAAAAAAAAACCCGGCAGCTCTGGTGTTTGAGAGCTGAGGAATGGAGAAGCGGATGTGCCAGGAAGCACGTGTGTATATTAGCTGTGTACAGAAACCCTGCACAGATGCTGACCTGGCAGACAACTGACATGTGACTCTCTTCTTTTTTTTTTTTTGGTTTTGCTTGTCTCTGTAATGTACGTAATGTCCTGAATCACTACTGACCAATGGTTTTGTTGTCCTGGAAGGGAATTGTATAGATATTAACATATGCTGCATCTTTTGTTTAAAAAAAAAAAACAAAAACCCCCCCACACAACAAAAAAAACCCTTTAAATGTATAAAAACATTCCCTCTCCACTCTCTCACACTTGCTCTGATGTTAACAGATCTTGCCTTGAGATATTTAGGCTTGTTTAACAAATTACAGAGCCAGGAACTTAAAACATTGTAGAAAGGCAACAGTCAATTTGGGGAAGCTGTGATAGTAGTTAGTTCTTTTTATTGTGGCTTCCTCTGTATTTTTTTTGTTTTAATTCTCACAGATCAGGGTGCAACTTGCCTTTTCTCTCTTTTTTTTTTTTAAAACAGCAAAACCTACTGGAAAATTGATAACTTCACTGTGTGGGTGGAAGGTGGGG